ATATATATATATATAGCGAGGGAGAAATTGCGCGACATAATAAAATTTTCTTTATAAATGATATTAAATTAATCATTCTTTGTTTTAGTACAAGAAAAATGTCTTGTGACTCATGTCAACTTACAACGGTTATGAGAAACGGGAAATGTTGAACACGAACCGTACGTCAGAGCTATATCACGTTTGACGGTTTGACCGTGAAAACTAAAAGATTTATCGCGATTACCACACTTTGTATACGTGACAGGTAACTACGCAATATCACATAAATCGAATAATCGAGTATGCTCACGAAACAAAAACGCAAATATTCTGACAGCATCACAACGTACTTACGCAAAAAATGTCGGCGTCACGATTGCCAACTTTTGCGGCAAACCTAGGCCGTGTTCCAAAATTCACTGCCAGAGAGTACTTGAAATCTATAATATACGTAACGTGAACTATAGATTTCCAGTACTGGCAGTGAATTTTGGAACACAGTTCTAATGTCACGTGACCAGTGTAAGCAACTATAGATTTGTTCATTTTGCTAGCACTTTCTGTAATTTTTTACGCTTGAAACAAGACGAACATATTCAGATCAGACTTGTTCATCTTGTCTGCGAATTTCTAACTTCTACATTGAAAATGAGACTAATATATAATCAAGCGTTGGAGAAATAGAAAGCGACGAATCTATGTGGAATGTATGTAGAATATACAGAACAGATTTCGTCCTTCAGGCAACGCATTAGCTCCAATTTATTTGAAAAAAATGTCTGATGAAAAATCTACAGTGCAAGAATTTAAGTTAGATCCCGACTGTGAATTAAGATTTGAAGTGGAGAGTAAGAATGAAAAAGTTACATTGGAGGTAATATAATTTCTTTTTGAAACTCTTAGCCTATAGATTTCTTTTATTATTGGAGCTAACCCGGAATTTTATAATTGCAGTTAAAGAGTGGCCTGGCAGAAGTATTTGGGACAGAATTGGTAAAAGGTAAAAAGTACGAGTTTATCGCTGGCGCAAAAGTCGCGGTTTACACTTGGCAAGGTTGTACCGTTGAATTAGTTGGAAAAACTGATGTTAGCTATGTGGCGAAAGAAACACCTATGGGTTTGTACCTGAATTGCCATGCAGCGATGGAACGGATGAGAGAGACTGCAGAGAAGGACGATACTAGAGGTCCGATAACGATGGTCGTGGGCCCCTGTGATGTGGGAAAGTCCACGCTTTGTAGAATATTGCTGAATTATGCTGTCAGGATGGGCAGAAGGCCGATTTTTGTCGATCTCGATGTCGGCCAGGGACATATAGCGATCCCCGGTACTGTGGGCGCTCTGTTGGTGGAACGGCCGTCCAATGTAGTGGAAGGATTTAGTCAGCAAGCGCCACTGGTTTTTCATTTCGGACACAAAACACCACAAGCCAATGTGACGTTGTACAATTTACTCGTCACACGCTTGGCAGAGGTATGCTCGGACAGGCTACAAGCTAACAAAAAGGCCAAAGCTTCCGGAATTGTCATAAACACGTGCGGCTGGGTTAAAGGGGACGGCTACAAATTGCTCACGCATGCCGCGCAAGCATTCGAGGTAGATGCGATACTCGTGCTAGATCAGGAGAGACTCTACAATGAATTGGTAAGAGATATGCCGGACTTTGTGAAGGTAGTTTTTCTACCAAAGAGCGGCGGAGTTGTCGAGAGGAGTCAGGCGCAGAGGACTGAAGCGAGAGATCAGGGTGTCAGAGAGTACTTCTATGGCTCTCGAACACCCCTTTATCCGCACAGTTTTGAGGTAAAATGGAGCGAGGCGAGGCTGTATAAGATTGGGGCACCCGTTCTACCAGCTTCCTGTATGCCATTGGGCATGAAGGCAGAAGATAATCTGACAAAATTAGTGGCCGTTACGCCAGGACCCAGTTTGTTGCATCACCTGTTGTCTGTCTCATTTGCTGATTCTCCAGAGGATGATGTCGTGCAGACTAACGTGGCCGGATTTGTTTGCGTGTTAGTATACAGTTTGTTACAGGAATTCTGTATAATTGTTGTTATTGTTATTATTAATACTAATTATTATTATCACCATAATTTTTTCTTATGCACAAAAATATATTTTACATTTGTAGAACCAATGTGGATGTCGAGAGGCAGACATTCACCGTACTCAGTCCACAACCTAGACCACTGCCGAATACAGTTCTGTTATTATCAGATATGCAGTTTATGGATAGTCATTAGCAGCTATAGACAGTTTATTATTAATTAGCAAATGTAAAAATGTACAAAAGTATGAATAGCGATATAAGAAATACCTTTTACAATATAATATTTGTATTATACGTTTAAGACATAAATATAAAGAAAAATTTATATGTAATATTTTTTGTAAAACAATATATATATATACATTTATATTTAATTATCTATATATTTGTAATCACACAAATTAATCCGAATATTTTGAAGAAGGATCAAGAGTTAAAAAATAAACAATTGAAATAGCTCTCATAAAGCTATTATCATTTTCGCATTATAATGATTTGTATTAATTGATTTATGTATCCATTCCACAGACATATTATATGGAATATATATAGAATAATATAAAGAAATATATAATATAACAGAATATAATATATATATATATATATATATATATATATATATATATATATATATATATATATAAAATCTGTAAAATATATACAGAAGTCTGTCTCTTTCTATATCTGTTTCTTTCTGTGAAAAAAAGAATAAACATCGATTAATCGATCGATTTTTGCCCATTTCTGTCTTGTTCATTCATAAAAGATATATGGCTACGATCACACGTATATATATATATTTGTATGTATGTATGTGTGTATATACATATTATATATTGGTATGTATATTGTGCGTTGTACGATTCGTGATTCGTGCGGATCATGCGCTAGTGTGCGAGTGTGCATGTGCGGTTCGATTCAGTCGCACGTCGCACGCGTTTTCAAGAACGAGGTGACTACAAAACTGCTTTTCGTGCTTGAGCGGCAGATCGTAAAAAAAAAAAAAAATACGATGGTGTCCACTGATTCTCAAGGAACTTACATCTCGTTTGCGTCGAAATAGCAAATTGTGTCCGTAAGTAATGACAGCAATTAACCAACCAACCTCAAAATGAACGCGTGACAGATAGCATTCATCTCAACACGATCTTGTGTCATACTACGGATTGTGTGGCTACGGATTTGAATTAAATGCGAAAATTATGCCAAAGATTCACGTTGGCGATAATACTTAAAAGAAGTGCGAAATAGAAACATGTTATCGTTACAGCTGTTGATGCTTTAGAACTCATATTTATTTCTTGCCATTTTTTCCGCGTTAATCTGTTCAATTTGGAAAGTTGATGAATAATAATTTTCACATGAATTTTCAGTGATTTTTATCAGTTTTTATTAATTATATATTCATTTTAGAACAAAAAGAAAGTTTTGCTTTATTGATCAGGATACAATACTTTTTGTATTCATATAATTGCTTTGTGTTTGTAACTTGTATATTGTGCATGTATGCCTAAAATCTATAAATATTGCACTATAATTAATTGATTTTTATTCATTTATTGATATTTATTTTTCATATACAGATTCTATTATATAAAGCTTTATAAAGTAAACATGCGTCGAGCACGTATTAAAGCTTTGGCTAGTGTGCCAATTCGAAAGAATCCTGTACAAGATGCAGTAGCTCTTGTTGATACAAGTGATCTGTCTGATAAAGAACAAAAAAAGAAAGATGCATCTAATGCTCAGCTGAAATATAAACCAGAAGCTATCAGAGATATCACAGAGGTAAAGAAACAGAAAGATGAAGGTACTGATATTGATATAATAAAGCAGGAAATCGTTAAAGATGCTGCAAAGATATCTGAGGAAACTATTAAGAAAGAACAAAAAGAAGCTAGTTTTGTAGAACCAGAACCAATCATAGTTATAAAACTAGATTCTCAAGAATCATGTCCTCAAGTAAAACCAAGTTCTCAAGAACTATGTGCTGGAGTGAAACCAGCTTCTCAAGAACTATGTGCTGGAGTGAAACCAGCTTCTCAAGAATTATGTGCCCAAACAAAACCGAATTCTCAAGAATTGTGCATTGAAATAAATGACAAGCCTGAAAAATCTATTGATCAATCGGTTCAAAAGAATATTCCACCATCGTCAGATGTGCCATCGACAGCAATAGATATAAGTAAGGCTTTTGTAAAATGATTAAAAAATTCATATTGAAAAACAAAAAAATATTTTATAGCAATTTGATTTTTCTATTAAAATATAATGTTATAATCTTTATATCAGTTACATTTTGTATATACATTTTGAAATATATATATTTTTCTTTTTTCAGTTTCTCCTACAAAGAATCGTCTGTGTTTTATGAGACCTGTACCGAGACTAGACACTGGTGGTAGAGTAAGAAAGAATAGCATACAGGGAAGCGGTGCGAGTGCGAGCGAATCCGAGGATGAGCACGGCAAGAGAACAGCGTCCGTCGTGCCAAGTCGCATACGAAATGATTCTATTTGTTCTGTACAGAGCAACAAGGAAAGTACTACTGCTGATAATCAAAATATCTCTCCGAGAATTAAAGCGATGCAGAAGAGGCGCATGCAGGTTTCGGAATCGGCGAGAAGGCTAGCCGAAGCGAGAAGGGAGTTCTTACTAAAACACGAAAATAAAACGCCTGATAAAAGTCAGATGAAAATGTATGATTTTATATATTATAATCCTGTAACGAATCCTATGAAGTCGAACAAAGAACAAAGAATAATTGCAGCACAGTAAGTATATCGAATAATAATAGTAAAGTATACATACACATATGTATAAAACACTATATATCTATATGTCAATACTTTGTGAATTTAATTCCATTTTTGTCCAGACCAATGGAAATACCAGAAGAGGAAGAAGCGGATGATCCGTCGGCGATGCCTGTGCCGCAAGTCAAAGTCGGTCCTGACGGTCAATTGATAATAGACGAACAGAGTCTCGTGATAGAACAAAAAGATGCAAAAAGAGTTAGAGAAATAATGTCGAATGATATTATTGTTGAAGATGGTATTTGCAATAATGGTGGTTTCTATAAGAAACATAAGAGAAGAAAGGAGTGGCCAAAATGGGAGACACTTAAATTTTACAGAGTCTTGAATGTAGTTGGCACTGATTTTCTATTGATGCAGACTCTATTCCCAAATAGGACTAGACAAGAAATTAAACAAAAGTACAAGAAAGAAGAAAGAGTTAATCGTCAATTGATTGAAAAAGCTCTGAAATACCATCAAGAGTTTGATACTGAAATGTTAGAAGAGCAATTAGGTATGTTCTCTTTCTCTCTCTTATAATATTTTTTTATTACACATCTTATATTTTAGTTAATAATATTGAATTATTAACATTTCACTGCATTATTAAAATATTGAGCTGATATAGTGATTTTGTAATAATTTACTTATAATAAATAAAAATTTTGTTACAGATATAATAGCTAATTTAAATTACGTAGTTAAATTAGAATATTTTCGTTAGAATTTTTTGAACTTTTGTAATAGTACTAAGACAATTTGCTCTGTTTATATATCTTATTTATTTATTTTGTGTTATAACATGCATTAGTCACTGTTTTCTTGGAATTTAGTTTAAGCTATTGTTTTGACTAAAGAAAATAAAAAAGTCAAATAATGTTTTGTTTCTAGAAATGTTACAAAAACTTGAAAATATCCAAGACACTCCTAAAAAGACATCGGAGAAAATAAAAAATGATCAAAATATAACTAAGGCGGCGAAAAGACGCAAGCATCGTGAGTATATTATAATCTCCATTTCATTTTGAAGCGATATTTATGAAACAAGATATGTATTAATAATCAGAAAACTATATCTGAATACTATCTGGATATTATGTTTAAAATAAATTGGTTCACACAATAAACTATTACAGGATTGGTGGCGAAAAGTATAGGGGAGTGTGAAACGCTATTAACGAAGAACGTTATTAACAACGAAGAAGCTGAAGACACAACGATATCAACAAGCGACGAGATCGACATCGAAATGAATAGCGAAACGAGTGACACTCATCAACAAATGAGGAAGAGAAGTAAAGCACGAAAGAGGCGATTGGATGATAGATCTGACAATTCCGATGATGACAGCGCAAGCGGTTCCAATAGCGATTCGGACAGTTCTCCGGAGATCTATCGAATCCGACCGACTAGATCTGGTAGACAGCCGAAGAAGGTGAAAAAGCTGCAAGCGCCCGATGTCAATAAACTTAATACGCCTAATGTTAATGCGATACCTGACAGTAGTATCGAGAATAAATCGTCAGTAATTGGTGACGAGAATGTGATATCGTCACATGTGGCCGTGGAAGTTACAGAGGTTGTAAATAGTTCAACCGAGAACGGTGAAAGCGCGGAAACATCGTCTTCTGAAAATATTACGAACGTAATACCAAATATAAGTCAAATGGAACCGGGATCTTTGGTAATCGTATCGAAGGAGTCTGCAGAGGAACCTGGAAACACTATTCTGCAGGTTTATATGGTTAGCTCGAACGTTGATAATGTTAACGTGGCGACTGAACTTAGCGAATCTACGGCGGATCAGCAGAATCTATCGGACTCTTTAACAACGGTAACTAATAAGCCGGAAACTGCTGAATCGACTAAACCTGACAATGATGAAAATTTCGAAAAATGATCTTTTGCATTTGTACTTAGCTATACAATTCAATTTTAGATAGCATTACACAAATGATACGTATCTTCGATTTGTCGGGATTGAATATTAATTTATATATAGACTAGAAGAGTATAAAAAAGACTGCAAAAGAAGAATGCAAGAGAAGATACATTTCTAATTTTGTTATTTATATGTCTGTAAAGTTTTGTGTTTTTAATTAATTATAAATAATATTAATTATATATAATAGCGAGGATTTCTTTTTACTATATTGCTTATTATGTAGGATATTTTCTATATGGGGATAAATTCATTTCTTCCGACAAATTGAAGACGATTTATTGTGATAAGAATTGCGCAATATACGGATGCACATTTATTCCTATGTAACATTAAGCTGAAGACACAACGATATCAACAAGCGACGAGATCGACATCGAAATGAATAGCGAAACGAGTGACACTCATCAACAAATGAGGAAGAGAAGTAAAGCACGAAAGAGGCGATTGGATGATAGATCTGACAATTCCGATGATGACAGCGCAAGCGGTTCCAATAGCGATTCGGACAGTTCTCCGGAGATCTATCGAATCCGACCGACTAGATCTGGTAGACAGCCGAAGAAGGTGAAAAAGCTGCAAGCGCCCGATGTCAATAAACTTAATACGCCTAATGTTAATGCGATACCTGACAGTAGTATCGAGAATAAATCGTCAGTAATTGATGACGAGAATGTGATATCGTCACATGTGGCCGTGGAAGTTACAGAGGTTGTAAATAGTTCAACCGAGAACGGTGAAAGCGCGGAAACATCGTCTTCTGAAAATATTACGAACGTAATACCAAATATAAGTCAAATGGAACCGGGATCTTTGGTAATCGTATCGAAGGAGTCTGCAGAGGAACCTGGAAACACTATTCTGCAGGTTTATATGGTTAGCTCGAACGTTGATAATGTTAACGTGGCGACTGAACTTAGCGAATCTACGGCGGATCAGCAGAATCTATCGGACTCTTTAACAACGGTAACTAATAAGCCGGAAACTGCTGAATCGACTAAACCTGACAATGATGAAAATTTCGAAAAATGATCTTTTGCATTTGTACTTAGCTATACAATTCAATTTTAGATAGCATTACACAAATGATACGTATCTTCGATTTGTCGGGATTGAATATTAATTTATATATAGACTAGAAGAGTATAAAAAAGACTGCAAAAGAAGAATGCAAGAGAAGATACATTTCTAATTTTGTTATTTATATGTCTGTAAAGTTTTGTGTTTTTAATTAATTATAAATAATATTAATTATATATAATAGCGAGGATTTCTTTTTACTATATTGCTTATTATGTAGGATATTTTCTATCTGGGGATAAATTCATTTCTTCCGACAAATTGAAGACGATTTATTGTGATAAGAATTGCGCAATATACGGATGCACATTTATTCCTATGTAACATTAATTTTTTTTATCAGAAAAAGTTTAATTTCATATGTATAAAACTATTCAATTAGTAGTAGAACATATTATGTTATGAATTATCAGCATTACGCGCGTAACACGATAGTAAAGATAGTGCGAGCTCTCCCATATAATTCTTGCTTGTATTGTAATCTTGTTTGTTTTCTGAATCAACTGTATGTAAAGTGACCTTATCCAGTGTGGTTTTTCCACTACTCATATGTGACATAACCACAGTGGATTAAGAAAATCATTGAGAAAGAAGTACGTTACATTTTTATTTCGCAAGTGTATATATATCATTAGAACAAGAACATCGGCTAAAAGGAAACTTTGTAGGATAAAATTTGATCTCGACTTCACAATACAGGCAGCCACATATATAAAGTTCATAGAACTAAGTGTATATTTCCTTTTACACAGCATATGTATAGGAAACATTTATCGAACTATATTGAGAAAGATAACAAACTGCTATTGTGAATAATCTCTTTCAGCCAATATTTTGAGCTAGTTCAGTTCTAGTATAGAGCTCAATGGTATTGCCAGCGTACTGCCATGACAATGTATATAATGTAAAATTACATTATATAAGTTATATAATGTAAGATTATCATAATTGATAATCATTTTATAGCAACAAAATTGTTGCAGAGGAAAATTGCAGCTGTCAGAAATAAAATATTGAGCAATTGAAATTGTATTTTATTTTTGCAATCCAAAATTTCTGTTGCGTATGGAAAGTGCAGATATTTTGATTATTTTCAACATTTTCTTAGAATCAATAAAATATATTTTGTAACTAAATACTTAAAAGTGAGATATATTTTTTAGATTTCTGTATTACATGTGATATATATATCACATTATATATATTGTATATAATATGATATATCTCTCTTTACGATTTCCATAGAATGTATCTTTATTTTTAATCACTAATAACACAATTCTATAGTATCGCATGGAATCCACTTTGAACTTTCCAATGCATCCCATAAATTATAATCCTGTTCAATTGTTTCTCTATTTGCCTTGTCAATGTCAATGGGGACTGAGTGCTCTGTAAAAGAGAAAAGATATTGGATAAAAATATAAACATACTATATTAAAATATTTCAGATTGAGATTTTTTGAAGAAACGGCACGATTGTAAGAAAATAAATGGTATATATACCGATTAATTCTAATTCGTCTTCTTCAGGTTTTTGATCAGATACATAATTGTTATAGGCATCTGATGTTGGTTCGCTTTCATAATAGCCTTGTTGCCAAGCACTGTAACTGTTCCAATACGATGATGTATCATAGTAATTATACGCCTCTGAATTCATATTTGATGCTGGATATTCAGAAGTTGATTGTGGCGGTGTTGAACTAGAAAATAATCAAGAAATATTTCTTATATTTGAATCACAATATTAAAAAAATATTTTTCAGATTGATATAAGAACAAAATTTATTTCCTAAAATATATATTATTTGTATTGCTAATATAATTTATGTAATAAACTTACCCAGATATTTTATTCCAGGGTCTAGGTACAGCATTGCAAATTTTCAGACATTTTGTTCCAAGTCCTCTGTAACCATTCATAGTGATTAGGCTATTCTTCTGCTCTTCTTCATTTGCGAATCTAACAAAGCCATAGCCTTTACTGAATCCCGAACTATCCAATATAACTTTAGCTGTCCTGATTGAATTATATTTTGCAGCAAATGCTCTGTATAAAGAGTAATCATCTACATCAGTGGACAAATCGCCTACCCAAATGCTGAACTCTCTCTCAGCAGCAGGTTTCCCCGTAGTGCTGGCATGATTTAAGCGAAACCGTACAGGCTGCAAAATATCACACAATATTAGAATAACAATCAACAATTATATATATATTTATATAAATTGTATCACAATATACTTACAGGATTTGAACCGGGTATCACCTTGCCATTTAATTTGTGCATTGCATCGAGCGCCATTTCGTCAGTTGGAAAATGTACAAAGCAGTATCCTGCGGGCTCGCCCGTGTACCGATTTCGCATTACCTTTACCGTCTGTGGCTGTTCGCCCATCTTGTGAAACGCATTCATGATGAAGCTCTCTGTCATATAGGGCTCCAGCTAAAATGAGATAATTGTTAATAATCGCATTTGTATTTACCTATATTTTTAATCAATCGTGCGTCAAGCGATACAAACTGTTAAATAATTTACTCACACCACCCATCCATAGCTGGCACAGCACCATTGGTCCTGACATTTTATTTTACTCTCAATCAATTAATTTTTATTAATTGTTCTGAGTAAGAAATGTAAGAATTATATATATCGTTTAATCCAGGTGTTATTTTTGTTTTTTGTACACGTTTTTATGGGATGGAGATCTTATAAACACACCATATAATTTACATACAATCACGATACTTTGATGAATGAGTAGAACCGACAAGATAATCCGCGCGAGAAAAATAAAATTGAAATGTATATAAACAGATTGAGAGACCGCATATACATACAGAGAGCGAGAGGTTATGCTGTTGACAAGTGGATCCAATAAGTCATGATGCATGATCTAGATATGATGCGTTCGACTCGAAATGCCTGAAACCGGAAGTGACAAGTACAACATTCCGTAGATTCCGTGATCATTGGACCAATGAGGAACGATATTTCGATAATATGGCGAACATTACTATTGGTTCTACAGGTATTAAGATTACTTCTGATTGGCTAGCCGCATTATTATTACCATAGACATAGTATATCTAGACCGAGTGTTGAGGAGTGGGAGCCGAGGTGCACGTAGAAAAGGACATACTCTCTTTCGTGCCCCTTGCGTTCTCTCTCGCTCGCACATAGCATAGCGCTCTCTTTCGTCATGCTACGTGCGAGCGAGAGAGAACGCAAGGGGCACGAAACAGAGTATGTCCTTTTCTACGTGCATCTTTACCCCCACTCCTTAAATAAAGGCAAACGCTCGGTCTAGATATACTATGTCTATGGTCGGAGCCAACCCACATACGAAGATTCATCATGTGTCTCTCAATCACTCATCGCGTAATTTGATGCAACGGTGTTTGCAACATCTCAAAGTTTAAATAGAAATAAACAAGAATATTATCAATTAGACAGTTCGAAATAGCCGATACGTTGGCTATGCCAGGTTGATTTTTCAGAATTTACTGCAAAAATGTCGATAATATTTACACCGACGAATCAAATAAGACTGACGAACGTTGCTGTCGTTCGCATGAAGAAAGGTGGCAAGCGATTTGAAATTGCCTGTTACAAGAATAAAGTAATATCCTGGAGAAATAAATTGTAAGTCTTTGTGTATCAATAAATAGATTGCGGCTGATAAAGATATTTCTATCTATCTATACATATGTAACGTCATTTATATAATTTCTCTTCTCACATGTACACATAAGAATACACATTGTCATAAGATTTATATTATCACGTGTTACTTATAATCTTAACAATTTTATCTGCGAGACTATCTTATTTCATTATCTTCTCTGTTTTTTATCTGTTATATTAGTTTACATTCTGATATCTTTCCATTAATGTCTATTAAGTCAATATCTATTCAAATAAGTCATAGCACATCACTTATCTCTAACCAGCTGCTTTTACCAGCTCTAACCAGAGTATCTTTTATTATCTAAGATCTTTTTTATCATGCAGAAATAAATGTGATATGCATTGTTTATTATTTCTTTCTGAAATATATTTTAGAGAAAAAGATATTGATGAAGTACTGCAAACGCATACAATATTCACTAATGTATCAAAGGGTCAGGTGGCAAAGAAGGAAGATCTCATAAAAGCTTTTGGCATTGACAATCAGACTGAAATATGCCAACAGATTCTTGCCAAAGGTGAGCTCCAAGTTTCTGATAAAGAAAGGCATTCAGCTTTAGATTCCATGTTCAAAGATATTGCCACAACAGTTGCTAGCAAATGTATAAATCCAGAAACTAAACACCCATATCCAGTTTCCATGATCGAGAATGCCATGAGAGAGGAAATACATTTTTCCGTTAAACCTAATCGGAATGCCAAACAACAGGCACTAGATGTCATCTCGCAATTGAAAGAAGTGATGCCTCTGGAACGTGCCCAAATGCGGCTTAGGATTGTTATCCCAGAAAAAGAAGCAAGAAAATTGAAAGACAAAGTCACTAAATTAATAACTAAATTGGAAAATGAGACATGGGACAATAGTTTGATACCGCATTTTCGGTGCAGAAATCCCGATCGATTTGGATTACATTTTTTTAAATCCGTTTTAATCGACCATTTTCGGCAGGGTATGCTCTGTGCGAGCGAGAGAGAACGCAAAGGGCACGAAACAGAGTATGTCCTTTTCTACGTGCACCTTTACCCCCACTCCTTAAATAAAGGCAAACGCTCGGTCTAGATATACTATGTCTATGATTATTACGCTGTCGCCATTATACGCAATGTTACCCTCGTCTTATTAAATCATTTCTTCGATGACCGATGAACCAACAAAGATGGCGGGCGCGGTAATGCGCGCAGCGATCGTCGATCGTGTAACATCGCCGAGGCCGAGGCCGAGGCAGGCGCGTTGACGTACGTCGTGACGAGCCCCCCGTGTAGAGCGCCCGGACGGACAGTAAGCTGTCGCGACGTGCGTACGTACGCGAGTGTATGTAGGGTATCGTGATTTTGTTGCGTGAGCGCGCGCGCGCGCGCGCTCTTGTGTATATATATATATATATATATGTGTGTGTGTGTATGTGCGCGCGATCGCTTGCGTGAACTGCGAGTTCTGACACGAGTGTGCGACAACGAAATATGTCAGAGGCAGCTCCGGAAGCATGAGCGAGGAAGCGGACTCGGTTACGCGAACCTGCGGGAATTCGCTCGCGGCCTCCTTGGCGAGTGAGAGCGATGCAACGATCGGGACGGCGACGCCCCCGCCGTCACCGCTGTCGCCGCCGCCAGCATCGCCGTCGACAACGACGAGGTACACTGGTAGGAGGCCGCGTTTCGGCACCGGTGGCCCACCGCCGTCGCCGTACGTGTGGGTTGACGGCCGTCAGCTGCGGAGCTCCCTGGCTTGGACCAACAAATGGCCAACGCGATCGCCCGGTGCTCTCCCGTTACGAGTCAACTTCCCTGCGAACGACAATCATCTGGTGACGGGCTACTTGGAGCCCGCCAATCCATGGCGGCACGGTGAGTATATTGTCCTTGCGCACGATATATCTTGGTCCTTTACCTGGCTCTTTATCAGATTGAGCATTATCGACCCGTACCTCTTTGGAGTGTATCTCGGAGTGCACCGTGCGTTAACTCTTAGGTTTAATGATATGATGTATCTTGCACTGACAATCTGTTGTGTTGACCTTTATGACACAGATACAGAGGAAGATAAGTAATTAACCAGGATTAGTGCTGACAAAAGTCGATGTGATCAGTTTGTGGATGTTTTGTTATAAAGAATCTATAAAGAACACTTGGTGCTCTCTCTTTGTACAGTACTGAGAGAAGCACGATTCAAATTTTGTTTGCGATATGTAAATTACTCTTTAATAGAACTAACATGTATTTATTATGGTGTCTCTGATTCGGTACAAATATATATATAGATTATTAATCCTATGCTGTTATAATGTTGCAGGATATTTTTGTATATACACTTGTCAAGATTTCAAGTAAAATTATTATCTAATATTGTTGAAAATACAGCGAGTTGTAGCTATTTGCTGTAAAATTTTATATAAATTAATTATTATTTGAGATGGAAATTGTAAATTTTTGAAGATGCAGCAAGACACTGCATGAAACAGATTAAAAAATGTCTAGTGTACAATATAATGTATAAGCGTATTTAAGAAATTTGTAATTAATTTTTTAACTGCGCGCAGTTTTTGTGTCAAATAAATACCTTAACATTCTACTCTACTATTATGACCAGGATAATAATTACTTGTCTGTGGAAATATTCTTATAATATCCAAAGCAGTTGAATCATTTGCACAATTTTTTTACTTGATTATTCTTTAGTGCAGTTGTATATCGTTACTGTGCTATTAGGTTTTTTTATAGACTCTGTCCCAAGTGAAGGATTTCGCAATGTGAATCTTGTCCTAATTATAAGTTTGACGCAATGTTAAAGTCTATCTGGGACAATAATATACGATAAAATTGTAACAATCATTCTCTTTTCTAATTGTAATTAATGCGTGTAAGGTGTAATGTGATTTTTGTCAAATAAATAAACGAATAATTATAGACCATACACTGTATTGTTTACTTTTACACATTGCTTATTTCTCTTTAATTTTACATACATTCTCTCTGTCTTTTTTATGTATATTATATTTATACTTGTTATTTTATATACGTGAAATAATTTACTCCCTCTAGAAAATCTGAAGAAATTGCATAATGGAGCAATTATAGATACCTTTGAAAATTTCCCTGTGTGTTTTTCGTTATTTCTGTAAGTGTAATAAATTCAACCAAAATGTTTTTGTATTTTGAATAAAAATATGATCTTTTAAAATTAGCATGCCCGTGATTATAATCTCTGTGCTACTTTTGTATATCAAAAAATAAAAGTATTAATAATTGTTCCCAGCTGAAAATGTGAATCGCGAGGACTTAATCTTCAAATACAAGGAGTCTTGCACACGTCACAACACCGAACCCTTGCTAAACGTTTTAGTTCAGATAGAGGTAAATGCATCTATTTCTTTATACTACAATTATATATAATTTCATTATATCATGCTGTCTCTTTTCTGGCGTAAATCACAACTGATATTAAATTCAGGTGTGAGCATGTTGCAACAAAGTAATGATCTCGCAAAAGGACTGGTTCTATGTACATGGAAGTGTGTATCGAGCTTGTTTACTTGAACCAAAAACGCTAAACTGGCTGAAATAAAAACGTGAAGTTTATCTCTTTTACTTTTCTTTCATCATGGCATTTTGTACATGCTACTTGTTCTGGCATTCTCTAGCGATCTAGCAAGACTTTCTCACCAGATAGATTATCAGTGCCTTTGTAGTGCACGGACATAGCTCTGCCGCTTTGAGGAATGCGTTTTTGCAAATTTTATCCGAATTTCGATATTGAGTCAGCTTTGCAGAAAGAAAAGCTTTCATTCACTTTTACGCATATATGTTTCCTCATTTTTGTTATACAGAATCTGGATATATCTCAAGATCGGTGCGAGCAGCTGAATTTGAAAGGGGAAATCTTAGATCAGGATCATTCTGAGCCATTGGAGGAGATATTGAAGAGAGTACAATTTAATAAAATTAATCTAGAAGGAACATCTTTGAACGATGAGGTATTTTTACAAAGATACATAAATTGTTTCATGTATTATTGAGTATATATTTTAATATTAGCATATATAATCTATATTGATGTAAACAATTCTTATTACAGAGTTCCGTGATATTATTTGATATGCTGGAATATTACGAGTCCGCAAAATACTTAAATATCTCGTTTAATCCGGATATTGGAGCGCGCGGCTGGCAAGCGTGCTCCCATATGATTAAGAAGGTATGCATACAAGCAGTTTATTAAACGAGAATTTTTATATAGAACGACCCTGTATGTCAAAATTAGTTTTCAAATTTTGTCTTTATTTTTAACTTGGCTATATTCCAATTAATTACTGGAACGTATAGCAGATAGTGTCACTATACTGTTATATTTAAAATGAAATACTAAAAGAGTAACTGTGTGATACTTTCCTAATTTTTTTAGACTCAGTGTTTAGAGCAGCTCGAAGCAAGGGACATAATGTTTAACGAACAAAATATGAATATTTTGAGCCGTGCATTACGATTAGCTTGCCACCTACATGTTCTCAAGTTGGAAAACTGTGGATTATCGGGCAGAGCAATCGTCATACTTGGTATTTATTTCGTGTAACAATATTCTTCTAGGCATTCAGATATTATATTGCATCTATATAAATATATTATTTGAATTTATTACATTAATCGTAATAATATTTATTGATATTTATTATAATAATATTATTATAATTTTTGAGATTAAAATAAAGAAATAAAGCGAAACATTATATTACCGTAATTAGTAAAACGAAAATTTTCCGCAATGATTTTTATGAATATTATGACTATGTTTTTTGTAACAGTTACAGCCCTAAAAATGAATAGTGGTATACGGGAATTATATTTAGCCGATAACGGGCTTGATCTATATGATGCTATACAACTTGGATCTCTCTTAAGGATGAACAATCATTTGCAATTGCTTGATATTAGGTACGATTAATTGCTCGATAAGAATGATTATTTGTCTCCTAAAGCTTTCTTTAGAAAGATAAATGTGAGAATGTGTGTGTGTGTGTGTGTGTGTGTGTGTGTGTATGTATGTGAAATTTATATTGTATATTAGTCTATTTTTCGTGTATCTTTTCGTCCCATTTTATAGTTTTCTCTCTACAAACTATTTTTTAAATTTGTTGCGAAAATCAGTAGAAATCGTGCGCAGTAACTAAATATACTTTTATGTGTAGATTATAGATGTTTGCTTTATATCTGTGAGAGACATGGCTTAAGCGAGTAACGATGTTTTTAGTACAGATTCTCTTTCTTTTGGAAATGTTTTTTTCTTTAGTAATAATAACGTCCAGGACGACGGGGTACGGGACATTTTGGAGGGCCTAATCAATCAAGTGAACGAGGATAAGACTGGCAAGGGACTCAGTATCCTGATATTGTGGAACAATCGTCTAACCAAGAACTCGGCACCCTACATCTCGAGGATTATAGTATGTATTAAATGAATGTCTTGCGGTTTTTCATATCATCTTTATTGAATCATAATGTCGGCGATAATCATCACGATCATTTTTTTTGTGATTTTTATAAATACAAATTGTTAATAACTAACTCAATGTGTACGACATCTTGCAAGAAAATTTTATTTAACATGAATTTAATTATTAAATTAAAATTTTTATTGTTATATTTTATTGCATCGATTATTTTTTACATATTTATTTGTGTGTATATATTTGTACCATTATTAGTGCATATGTTAAAATAGAGAAATATTGGAAATAATAGAGAATTGAAATAATATCACAATGGTTTAAGTACAACGCTTGAAAATCGAGGAAAGATGTAAAATTATTTGAAATTATCAAAAAATAAGAATAAATGAAGCAATAAAAGTATGCTGTTTGTATGCTGTAGCTTAACGCGTTTGCTGCCCTATTACGCCCGCAATAATTATGTTCAGGCATTATCGAAAACATTGGAGACTCTGAATATCGGTCAGAATATGCTGACGGACGAGACACTAAGAGTCGTTAACGAATCACTGAAGCAGAATCGTGTTCTCCTGCAATTGGGAATGCAATCGACAGAGCTCACGTGCGAGGGAATAATCACGCTGGCCGAGATCATGGAAACGAATCAAGTTTTACAGGTAAGCTCTCCGAGTTATACCGTCAATCCGGTTCACGCTCAATGCTTTATGTTATGCTCTCTTTTGCTTTTGCAGAGAATAGATTTGCGAGACAACAGCATACAGATGCGCGGGATGCGTGCTCTCGCGAACGTAATGAAGGTGAACAAGACCGTAACGCAGATCGACTTGGACGACAAACCTCGGATAAGAATAGTGAGTTTCGTAAGATATTTATATACGTATGTTCTACAATCCTCTTTAAGTTTGTTTAATTGATCTCCCTTTCTCTTTATCTTTTTTAAACCAAGGATGGTCTCGTGCATGAGTATATGGAATTGGTTGCGGAGATTCGCGGTCGCTGCAGCCAAAACGAGGAGGAGCGTCGTTTGCTGGAAGAGTCCACCGAAGACACCGAGAGCCCGCAGCACCCGAACCGGCTACTGAACGCGAGCTCCCGTAAGATCTCGCTCACCTGTCAGACACTGCCAAACCCGTCGTCCGGTCGATCGGCGACATCGTTGACCGCCAACGAGCCGGCGACGCGCGCCACGCTGGAGCCGGCAAAACGCACCAGCGGTGGCCGTCTGCGATCCCCGGCTCCCAGTCCGATTCCCTCACCTGTAGCTAGTCCGGTTCCCAGCCCGTCCCGGAATCGTTTCGTCGTGTGTCGGGTGCCGGAGGCGTCGCTACGTTCCACCGACTCCTCGGCATCCACCTCGCCCGTCACCCCGCCATCCCTCGGCTCCTCCCCAAATTTTTTTTCCGGTGCGTCGAGCGGCAGCTCGTCGCGGTTTCGTGTGTCGGTCGTCGAGTCGGCGAGCGCCGGTCGCTCGTCGCCCAAATCGGTTGTCTCCTCCACTAGTGGCAGCTCGATCACGATCGGCTTCAACGTTAGAATCGACGCGGCCGATTCGGATGATTCCGACAGCGTTATCAACAAGACGGACGCCAGCGGTAATACAGCCGCGTCTGCGTCCGATATGCTTCACGTAGTCCCATTAGCGAAAGAAACGTCTTCCTCGAGCGAAAACATCGCCAAGAATGAGGATCGTTGCGACGGAGAGACGAAGATTCCATCGAGTCAACAGCAAGTTAAAGCGGATGAGATCGTTACCGCGACCTCTAAAGAATGTGAAAAGATGACGGAGATTAAAGAAGAAGAACGGTTAGATCAGAATTATGTAACCGGGACGTGGCAATTTGAAAAAAACGAGATGGACTATTGCGACAAAAACGGAAGCAATCCAAACAATGTTACGAAGATGAATTTCGAGAGCACCGCGACAGCCGTCAGGGATACTGAGACGATCGCAGATCGTCGTATCATGTATACGAGTACAAAGGAACTCCAAGTACCTGCATATCCAAACGAAGATACAATTTCGATTAGTATAGTCGAGGATGAAGCCTCGAACGCGATAAAATTGTCCTCGGATAACACTTCGGAATCGAGCCGAGCCACTTCGGAAGAGTTATCCACCTGCATGTCGAGATCTTCCGCGAGTACCACTTGTACGGGAATGTTCTCGTCTCGCACGATGGAATCGCATTCACGACCAAGCACATCAGTGCAGAAACACAAATCCAGCCTTGAGAAGCTTCTTTCCTTGTTCCAGCATCCCGGCCAGTTCTTCACGGAATCCTCGAGCGTCGCCGTGGACACGAAAAGCTCTCTGCAGGAGAATGTTAGCGGTGTGATGGCATTGGGCGACAGGCTGCAGCAGTACCTGAAGGAAAGCCGAACCAAGATCGATGGCTCGTGTTCTTCGGAACACGGATCTCCGTTGAAGAACAAATCGGGACTAAATATATCGCAGCTACAGAATCTGACCGGCATATTCGCATCTTTCAAGCTCGAGCCACAAGCGAATCTCGTCGAGCACGATACCAAGATTTTCGATCAAGTGAAAAATCAGGATGCGAATATCAGGGAGAGGGATTTAGAAGAATCGACAGAAATTGAAGTTGCGAGCGTCGACAACGAGAGAAATTTGCTCGATCGAGAGAACAATCAACTTACGAGAGACGATGGCAATAATCTAATGGAGCAAGATCAAGTGATTAAGAGTGGCGAGAATAATTTATTTGATCAAAAACAGAATCAGAGCACAAATGACGATGAGAAAGATTTAATTGGTAAAGAGAAGAATCAGATTATTGGAAGAGACGAAAATTTATTTGGTCAAGAGAAAAGTCAGGTTTCTAAGAACAACGAGCAAAAGTTATTCGATCAGATTAGCAGGGACAATAAGAAGGATTTTATCAGTCAGGAAGAGAGTCAAGTTTCGAATAATGATGAGAATAAATTATTCGATCGGATAAAAAATCGAACTATAGAAATCGATGAAAGAAATTTAGAGGATCAGGAGAAGGGACAGGATATGGTCAGGAAGGCTGGTGAAAAATTTGAAGAAAGCGAGGATATACAGAGGAGAGATGAGGTTGCGAACAACGATTCGGAAGATGAGAGGCTGCGAGATGACATTACGAGAAACGACGGAAAAAATGTCGCGAGTGTGCGAGATAGCACACGCAATGTTAACGAAGAGGAGGATAACACGGATGACTTACGGTGGACAGAGTCTGATAGAATTAGTGATCGACTGTTACCTGAAAGTGTGCAATCAAAGGACGATTTCGCTAATAATTTAGTATTAGGCGACGGTCACGTCGCAACAAATGCAGCAGCGGTATTGTCGTCGTCGCCAGCGAGCGAGACTACCGCGTGTATAAATGTAAGATTAACGGACATAGCCGAATATTCTGCTCTAGGATTAGGTAAAATTGCCGACGTATGTATAGAGTGTAACGATGCGAAACGTTTCGAAGATTTTATCGGCGAGGAAGAGTGTGACGATGTGCCGCAGGATTCGAAACATACGGAGCGCGATGATGATGCCGAGTGCTTAAGACGCGATGATTCGAAGATTTTAGGGAGTAATGACGCAAAGTGTTTACAACATGACGCGGTTGAAGAAACGAATGCCGCGATGATAAGGACATGTGATATAACCACGGACAGTATTAATCAGACTAGTGATAGTAGGTTTTTTCCGATTTCTAACATAGCATATGATAATAAGAAAGCCGTAGATAGCGTAAGTATCGCGTCGATCACGACGGACGATGATGTCGACATGATCAGATCTGTATTGGAGAACAGTGGGCTATCATCGATGTCGTCGAAGGACGCGAACGTTTACTTAAACGAGGAAGTTACCAGTAACATGCACCGAGATCACCGGTGTGATTTTATGAGGAGAAGGGAGGAGGAGGGGGATGATCTCCACGATGATGCTTACCGCGATTCTGTTGACCGTGCAACAAGTACAAGTATAAATATTAAGATAGATTCGCACGGAGAATTGGAGACGACAAGTCCAGACGGCAGCCAGGAGGCGTTAGGGCGACGGTTGTTCATGCTAAATAACATCGATAAGCATCGAATTATCCTACAGGATGCTGCCGAGACCGCGAGTCATCCGGAGGATGAGGAAAGCAAGCGGACGGTCGATCCGACCATTCTCATTACCCCATCGCCGCACGAGATGTCCGTGACAAGTCTGGACAAGCCCGACGCGGAGGAGTTTATCTTTTGTATGACCGACGTCTCCACAGACGGCACGTCCATAGAGGACGAGCTGTCACCTCAGGGCATCGTGTCCAGAAACTCACCGAATAAACCGGCAGAGTCGTACTTTGAGCTTCCCGCTTCGAAGACTACCGTGCCGACAAGCAGCACGCTTCTGATCGAGAATCCCGGGAGCGTGCACAGGAACAGTCAGGATTCCGGGATCGAAGAGACCGCATTGGCAATCGACGATAACGTCATCGAAATGACAGAGGTACCGCTGATACCGCCACCGCCGCCGCCGCCGCCGCCACCGCCGCGCAGCAGCCTCCAGGAGAGCGTGGACTCGGGGATCGAGTCGGAGTGTTCGTCAATATGCATCAGGATGGAATCCGCTACCGCCGGAATCGGCACGCTGGAGATCGTCACGACGTCGAAGATGCCGACGCGTGACGATAACGACGATGAAGAGGAATTCGGCGAGTTTGCGTCGGATTTCCTCGCGAGGGAGACGCGACTGGTCGATAGCGATAGTACGAGTGGCGACGGCGACGGCAACGGCCTCTCGTACCTCAGCGGCGTCAAGTGCACGGTCGTCAACTCGGTGCAACCCGTCGCCGACGAAGGCGTCACTCGACCGGCGGCGCCGATGATCGCGCACTCCCCCGCGGCCGTACATGGTACCAGGTGAGTGCACTATAGGGCGCCTTCTCCTCTGGGCTTCTTCTACGGAACTTCTTGCAGAAATCTTAGAATGCGTTACGCGCGCGATTATATTAAACTTTAAATCTCATGTGTTATCAGAACAAAGTCTAATCGTCGGCTTATAACATAATCTTAAGAGGAGAAGATGTGACGATTATTTTGGTACGCTGATAAAAATAAATAAAACTTGCGTGTTATCTCTTTAAAATCGAAGAACGAAATTGCGAAAATAAAAATATTAAATAATTAAATTTGAAAACTTCTATGCCACGTATCGGGAAAGGTCGTGCATTCTAAGAGTTAATGTGTGGAAGAGGATGTTTCTTTCCCCACTGCTTCGACTCTTCTTGATTTCCTACTTATTCGCTTTCGCAACTTGTGCAATCGACGTCAGCTTTTGTATCGGTGCTATTGCTGGGAATATCTGAAAATAAAAGAATTAAAAAAGTTTTAAATACTTGACAATTACATTGCGCAATTTGAATGAAGCGCGATACGATGAGAGATGTAATCTCTTTGTCGATTATTTGGATGGAGATACGAAAACCTGATGAAATGCGGAAACCTTCGTTACGAGAGATTTCCTTACGAAGCTTTTTAACGTAGCTTTTTATCTTGCAATTTTTTCGTTGTTTCCCTGTTGAATTGGTCCTTATCCTTTGACAACAGTAGTCTCCGCTTTATTAACAACAAAACATGAAGGCAAACAAGAAGCGATGTTTCTTAAAGCCTTTATATCAGCTTTATATCGTTTCATGTTTTTGTCTTTCTTCTTGTTGATGTATCTCTTGCATGTTTTCATCATTTACATACATTTCAATATCAGATACTACAATTTTAAAACTACAATTTTATAATAAATAATTAAGTTAGACAAACGAATTTATATTTATTATAATTTGACTTAATTATTAATATCTTTCTTGCATAGTTTTTTTCTTCAACATGACAACGTATTGTTTTTGCAGTCCGAAATAATGCAATGAAGGGGAATGGAACTGAGGCGAAGGAAAATAATAGCGGCGAAGTGAACGAGACAGATCCAATGGAGTACGATGACGACAAGGATGATGAAATCGATGAACTCGAACAAATGATGAAGCAGCTCGAGCCAAAGTATAGGCGTTACGCCAATTGGAGGATCTGAATGCTGCTTGAAACTATTCTCTGCAGAAGATATCTAGAACAGATGCATGTTTGGCTCCAAGGACCATCGATTCCGTAGATACTTAACACATCCTCCGTAGCTCTATAAATTCCTAATTCCACGAGATTCTGATATCATCAACTCTTGATTGATTCCCTCTTTTATCCTTCTTTTACGTTTTTGAGTCCAAATTCCTAATTTCGTAACTTCTAGTTTGTCCAAATTTTCATAGAATTTATTTTTAAAAATGTATAAATTTTTGATAAAATAGGAAGATTCAGTTTGACAGATATTTGGTATAAAAATGACTTTTTTTAAATCATCTTTGTTGGAAACACTTAAAATGTATTCATCTGCACAAAAGAACTTTGATAACACGCATTTTTGCAATCAGATTATCATAAATTCTTAATGATGTGTCTTTGATTCTCTAGTACATCTATGTGGCATTTTAATATTTCCGGATCTTTGTTACACCAAATCTTCCTTCTTGGATTCGATAGAGCTCCGTTTTTATAAATCTCTACTCAACAGATCCTTGGAACTATCAGAGCACGTCGGAGAGAAAACATATAAAATTAGAGCGCTTTAGCGTAGAAGAAGTATACATATACTTATATATATATAAATAAGCGAGCATTGTAAACTTAATTTTTGACTATAATAGATGTCGAATAATATGTCTTATATGCTAGCTAGTTTCGTGTCGGTCTTTTTTTAATTTCGCGAATAGGAAGAAAGAGAGGAGGGATATGGGGATAGGAGGGTCAATAAAAGCAGAGAAGGAAGATTATGGATAGACGAAAATGTACAGATAGACGATCGATTCTAGTCTCGAAGACAGTCGATCCATCGGAAAATTGCAAAACTTAACGTGCACCGCTGTCTCGCGCGATATGTAACGCGCTGGCATCGTGACCGAAGTGAAAAAAAGCCAGAGCTTCTTAAACTTACAAATAACGGGACGTTAAAAACTGTAGAATTTTTTTTTGTCGTCCCTTGAGTCTCTATGAAGATTTTCGTTTGAAAAAACACAATGGCAGGCAAAAGAGGTGTTCCATTATGATTATATTGAAAAAAATGTCCTTTCAATTACATACATGAAAATGTTAAATTGGAGACAGTGGTGATTGTTTCAACATCGATACATTTACACAAATAGTTAATAGAGACGTTAAAAATTAATTAATTTTTGTCAAGTAAATGTATATACATTATAAATTATAGGAGCCTGTTGAAAGGACATCTTGGGCGCGGACACTTTGTATATAAAACATGAGTAATGTAAACTTTTTCAATGTAACTTTCTACAATTAAATCTTACTTTTGTTAGATGGATTACACAGTGTGAAGTAGATATAATAAAAGAATAAATATTTGTCGCAATTAATGTACTAATCAACATAGAGAATCATTAGTTACATATTTCCAGATTTTTTCGTGGAATGTAGTTTAAGGAACACTGACCTAAAGATATATGGCGATTATACCTTAAACGAAATAGTTTATCGAATTATTACTTAAATGTACATCACTGTTAACTGAAAGATTGTGGAAAACTTTCTGAATGCCTTGCATATATATAGTGTCATAGAAAATATGAGAATCAGTAATATAGGTCACTCTTGAAGGGGAAATGTGAAGTCGATTTCTCTGTCGAAGAAAAATCTGCCAGTACAATTGAATTATATAGAGGTATCTAAAATTGAAAATTAAGAGATATAGCTAGTCGAGCTTTAAGAGTGTAAATAGATTATTTTAATTAATTTGTAATTAATTCGAAAGCTTGTTTGTATATATTGTAATTTGGATTATATACATATACAGGGTGTCCCATAATAACCGTATCATCTTTCGTGTGCAGGTAGAGCAGGTGAAACAGAGAAAAAAAGTTCTTTACCATTTTGCGATTTTTGTAATAATTATTGAGAAATTAATTAAAAAAGATGGACCAATTCGCGTGAGTATAAGCGCGCAGTAAAAATGGACAACCCATTGATGTGTGATTGCTACGATGCGAGAATCGTACCGCTCGTACGTAACCGTTGTCATTTGTAGAGCTCTCCTCCCAAAACTTTGTCGCGCGCCTAGCGACGGCAAACTTTTGGGTTGTCTCAGGGCCATCCTTTCTCGCCGCGCGCTTGCTTACACGAATTGATCGATATTTTTTAATGCTTTATCTGCACATGAGAAGTGATACGGTTATTATGAGATCCTTATATATATATATATATATATATATATGTCACAAAATATTTAATGTTAAAAAGAAAATAAAAGTTGTTTGAAACTTAAATTTTTTTAAATCGCAATATTGAGTCTCTAGCTTAATGGTTTCTACTACTGGTTATCATATTCTCTGAGATATTCTATACATTTATATGTATATTTGTGTGTGCGCGTGTGTGTACTAGTGTGTATCGAACAGAGAAGGCACGATCGAGAAATATTCACAGTTACTACGAGAAGCGTTTTACATCACAGATGATAGGTTTCGAAGACTCGAATTTGTGTTTCGTGAAAGGATCTAATTGAAGCTTTAATAATATGAGATAAAGTAATATTTTTATCTTTTGTAGGATTAAGATTTATTAAGAGATTTTTTATCGTTTTGTATCGTATTCTATTTATAAAACCTCAGAATTCAAGTATTGTAATCTTTTTTTCTTAAGCAACTTGTGTCCTTTATTTATCTTTTTTTATATCCTTGTTAAAATACATTAGAAACAGATTCGAGTCTCGTCGAAAGTATCGTCAAAATTATTGCGCTTAGGTAGCTCGAAATTCTCTGAAAATTGCGACTAAATATGTCGAGATCTATTATTCTTATTATATATATATATAT